TACCGGCCCAGTGGGCACCTGGCGGTGGGGGTGGGGGAGGAAGGAAAACAAGACCAAAACTGGCGTTTATGGGACATTAAACTGCGGTCAGCCTCTCCCAGGCTCCTCTGGACTCGAGGCCTGCAATCGACTCGTTCAAAAAGGAGGTTGGCAAATATCCGGGAGTGTCCCCGAGACCGGCAGCCAGGACCGAAGTCTTGCTAGCATCTGCTCCCTGGGGATTCTGAGTGCTGCCTGTCTCTTTTCTTTGCCACAAGACAGTTCTTTAGCTCTCTGCCTCAGTTTCCCCCATCTTTAACATGGGGATGAGTGTCTGCCTTGTAGGAGAATAAGGTAAATCTCTTAGAGCACTTACCAGACACCTTGGGAGTAATAGGTTAGTTGGTATTATTATTCTACTTTTAAATACATGCATACATATGTGTGTGTGTGTATACATATATATTTATTTAAGTTTTTATTCATTTATTTTGAGACTGACAGAGAGCAAGTGGGGGAGGGACAGAGAGAGGGAGAGAGAATCCCAAGCAGGCTCCACACGGTCAGTGAGAAGCCTCATGCAGGGCTTGAACCCAAGAACTGCGAGATCATGACCTGAGCCGAAACCAAGAGTCGGAGGCTTGACCAACTGAGTCACCCAGGCACCCCTATTATTCTCATTTTAAAATTAAGAGCTCGCTGTATGTCAGGCAATGTCCTAAGTACCTTATGTGTGTTTATCGGATTTAGTAATTTCGTTAACCCCATGATACTGCCTAGGCATTCCCATGATCCCCATTTCACAGAGGAGAAATTGAGGCTCTGAGATGTGGAGAGGCTCACCCAAGATGATGGGCCTGGTGAGGAGCAGATCCTGAACCAGACCCCGGGTACACTTGATTTCACATCCCCTTTGCCGTGGGCGGTGCTAGGTGTTCACCAAATTCACAGATGAAGAAACTGAGGCACGGGGCATCAGTACGGTGCCCGTGTGAGGGACAGCTGAGATTTGAGGGGGAATCCAGCAGGCACCCATGGAGAGAGGGAGCAAGGGCAGCTGGGCTTCTGAGACACCTGCACAGACCCGCCAAAGGCTGTGATGCCAGGACACTGCCCTCGTCTGAGTCCGAGTATCTGCCTCACCTCCTCTGCTGTCAGTGGGAGGTCAGCCTTCTTTTCTTATTACCATTCTTCTGTAGACACTGGTCAGGCTCTGTGAGGTCCTTCTTCCCTCTATCCTGCCTCCTTCCAGAGTCAGCATAGGCCCGGGTTTCTCCCAACCCCCTAGAACCCGCAGTTTCCCTGTCGATGGTCTCTGTTCCCTCCCGGGGAATTAACCAGATCCATTTCCCGGGTGTGTCCCCCAGTATGCTCCTTACAGCAGCTCTGGGGGACAGCTCCTCTGGTAGCCCATTCCCGAGCTCAGCAAGCCACAGCTGGGGGTTCATGGTCTCCAAGGATCCAAGGGGAAGTCCTGGGAGCAGCTGAAAGGTCTGGGCACCTGGGAGGGGAACTGAGTCTGGTGCCAGCCAGGTGCTCAGGACAGAATGAACCGGGAGGCGAGCCCCGCCCGTGCTCACCACCCCTTCCACTCCGCTCCCTGAGCACCTGTGATGCCCCCAGCCAGATGAGGTTGAGAATGTGCGGCCATGGAAATGAGAGTCCCTGTCCCCATGCTGCATGCTCTCGGGCGTGTGAGAGCTTCTGTCCATGGCATCTGTGTGCCTGCTTTACAGATGAGGAAACTGAGGCTGAGGAGGAATTAGCCGTGACCCTCTGGCCAACGAAAGCCAGAGGGGGCTTGGGGTCTCGTGTACTAACTCGCCACGGTGCAGCTGGTTGCTGCTTTTCCATTCTCCCAGAATTCTCTCTGGCTCCACGTGGCCCCTTTGACTTGACTTGTTCCCATGCGGGGTCTCTGGGCATTCTGTCTCTTGTCTCCAGTTGGGTATGATGTGCACAGAGAAAAGCAGAAATGTGTCGGGTCACAGAGAGGGACTTTCATGGATTGAACATACCCATGACCGACACCCAGATCGAGAGCAGAACATTCTCAGCCTCAAAGCCTCCCCACGGCCCCTCCTGGTCACTCCTCCCCAAAAGCAGTTGACCTGTATCCTGACTTCGAGCTGCAGGGCTTAGTGTTGGTACAAAAAGTACCTTTTGTTCTTTATGTAAATACAGTCACAGTGCAGTGGTTCTTTGCTTTTTGGTTTTTAGATGTATTTTAGGGGATTTTTAAAAAATGCAGTACTGAGATATAATGCACGTTATTGTACAGTTTACCCATTTAAAGTACGTAATTAGGAGCGCCTGGGTGGCTTGGTTGAGCTTCCAACTTTGGTTCAGGTCATGATCTCATGGTTCATGGGTTCGAGCCCTGCATCAGGCTCTGTGCTGACAGCTCGGAGCCTGGAGCCTGCCCCGGGTTCTGTGTCTCCCCTTCTCTCCCTGCCCCTCCCCTGCTCACACTCTGTCTCTCTCTAAGAATAAACATTTAAAAGAATTTTAAAAAGTATATTAAAAGAAAGTATGCAATCAATTTGAGGACATTTCTGTCACCACCCCCCAAAGAAACCCTGTACTTGGGGCGCCTGGGTGGCGCAGTTGGTTAAGCGTCCGATTTCAGCCAGGTCACGACTGCTGGGTCCCGTGACTGGTGCCCCTGCCGGGTTTCCCTGGGCTGATGGCTCAGAGCCTGAGCCTGTTTTCATCTCAGGTCTCTCTCTGCCCCTCCCTCCGCTCATGCTCTCTGTCCCAAAAATAAATAAACGTTGAAAAAAAAAATTTTTTTGAAACCCTGTACTAATTAGCCATCAACCCCTCTAGCACCCTACCCCTGGCAACCAGTCGTCTTCTTTCAGTCCCTATGGATTTATCTCTTCCAGTCACTCATAAATGGTCCTTCCATACGTGTTCTCTTTTGAGCCAGGCTGTCTTTTTCTTTTTCTTTTTTTCTCCCTCTCCTCCCCTTCCCTCCCCTCCCTTCCCCTCCCTTTTTTATGTTTAATTATCACGAGAGAGAAAACACACACACAAGTGAGGATAGAGAGAGGGGAGACAGAACCAAGCAGCTCAGGCTCTGAGCTGTCAGCACCAGCCGGGTGCAGGGGTCAACTCACAAATGCAGATCACAGCCTGAGCTAAAATCAAGAGCCAGATGCTCAACTGCTTGCACCACCCAAGAATCCTGTGCCTCCCTTCACTTAGTGCCATGCCTTGTTGTTGGTTCACAACCTTGTCTACAACCAAGGTTGGTCTCCACATCTGCATGTGTACTACATTCCTGTCACAAATAGTATTCCATCCCCAGGCGACCGTCCTGAGTGCACCCTTTCTTGGACCTGGGATCTTAGGAATCTAAAATGTGGCACCACTGACACTCTGGCTCCTGAGCTGGCCTGGCGCCCCACCAGCCCACCCTGCCAGGAGCACGGGAAAAAAGAAAGGGGGGTCGTGGGGTGGGCTCACGGGGCAGGGATTCTGAACGCCAGGACCAGGTCTCCGCTTCCCTCTGGGCCTCAGTCTCCCCATCGGTAGGGGTGGGGGGCAGACAGGGGTCAGCCATGTGCTTCGGGAAGCCCAACCCAAACCGTGCTAATTCTCCAGGTATGTGCACCTCCTCCTTCCCAGCATGGCTTTGTTCTAGTTTTGAGTCTCCAGATCTATCATCCCACCCCTGGACATTCTCATTTAAGTAGGTTTCCCTCTTCCTCTGGGTCTGGGGTGCCTCCCTTGTCTCTCGTTGTTTCCACCAGTAAGAAAGAGGTGTGGGAGAGGTATGGCAGGTTCTGAGAACAGAGGATGGCCTTAAGGGAAGGCTGCTGGACAGGACCTCAAGAGTCTGTATGACCCAGTGACAGGGTAGCTGGGTTTGAAATTCACCCTCTCCCACCCCAAGCCAGCATCGTTTTTGTTTGTTTGTTTGTTTGTTTGTTGTTTTAAACATCTTTACCAAAATACAGGTCACATACCATACGTCTTGCCCGTTAAAATGTATAATTCCAGGGGTGCCTGGCTGCCTCAGTGGGTAGAGCAGGCGACTCTTGATCTCGGGGTTGTGAGTTCAAGCCCCACGTTGGGTATAGATCACTTAAAAATAAAATCTTAAAAAAGTGTATATAATTCCGTGGCTTTTAGAATCCTTGAAGGTGTGTGTCCAGCCCCACAGTCAATTTCAGAATATTTTGATCATCCTCTAAAGAAACCTTGTACCTTTGCTGTCACTTTCCATCATTCTCCCAGCCCCTGGCAACCACCGGTCTACTTCCTGTCTCTACGGATTTACCCGTTCTAGATGTTTCGTGTAGATGGAATCAACACTGTGTAGTCTTTGGCGTCTGGCTGCGTTTACTCAGCACATCTAGTGTTTTCAAGGCTCCTCTGTGTTGCATCGTGGATCCCTATGTCTTTCCTTTTTATGGCTGGAGAATCGACCGCAATTTATCCGCTCATCAGTTCACAGACACTTGGGAGAGTCCCACTTTGTGGCTCTTATGAGTAAGGCTGCTATACCACGCACGTACGAGTCTTTACGTGGATGTGTGTTTTCATTTCTCTTGGCCGTATATCTAGGAGTGGAATTGCCGGGGCACGCAGTAACTCTCCACGCCACCCACTGAGGACTCGTCAGGCTATCTTCTGGTGTCCAAGCCACCATTCTGCTGCCCCAATTCCAGAATGGCCCAACCAGGGTCTCCTTACCTGGGGGTCTGTGATGGGCCTCCGGCGGTCTCTGAGTCCTTGGGGTGGGGTGCACATCTTGTGTCTCTGTGTTTTTCTGAGGGTGAACGTTGAGGACACGTAACATCTTTGAGCCTCCGAATCCTCCCAGCTCCTGCCAGTCAAAGGTTAGAGTGGAGGCAGATCGGTGCAGCACATTCCAGTCTCCTCTCTGGACTCTTCTTGTGGGATTGGCTCAGGATTAAAAATACGGCCCGATAAGTGGTGGACCTGCCATCTGACATTTGATTTTCCCCCCCCTCTTTCTTTTCCTGGTGCTTCTCCTTCCTGGAACTCAGCAAAGAGAACTTCAACAACGTTCCTGACCTGGAGCTCAACCCGATCCGCTCCAAAATCGTCCGTGCCTTCTTCGACAACAGGTGGGCCCTTGTCCCTGAACCGGCCCAATGGCAGATGACTTTGGCCTTGAGGGAGTGTTTTCCCTTTGTACCTTCTCATGGTGTTGTGTGCTCCGAATGTCTCCTTAAGCCATTGAGCAGAGGAGGGGGTTGCTTTGAGTAGGAGTTATGAGCACAGCTTGGGGTCAGACAACTCTGGCTCGTTGACTTTGGGCAGCTCACTCAGTCCCTCTAGGCCTGTGTATTAGTTAGCTATGACTGTGTAACAAATTATGCCAGTACTTAGCAGTTTAAAACAAATACCACCTCACTGTTTCTGTACATGAGGGACCCACGGGCAAACTATCTGAGTTCTCGGGTTCAAAGGCACTGGGGCTCCAGCAATCTGAAGGCTCGACGGGGGGGCGGCTCTGTTTCCAAGCTCACACGTGTGGCTGCCGGCAGGCCCCGCTTCGGGGACCTCCCATCAGTTTTTCTGTGTCCTCTTCATGAGAAGTGAGTCACCAGGGCCTCCCACGCGAGGAGAGGGGACCACACGGGGCTGAGTGCCAGGAGGTGGGGATCGTTGAGGGTGATTTCAGAGGCTACCTCAGTTTCCTTACCTGTAAAACAGATGTAACGATAGTATCTGCCTCGCAGGATTGCTGAGGGTACACTGATCTGATGTGTACCAGGTTGGCTATCATTCTGCTCATTGCCCTGACTTACAGGGAAACTGAGGCCCAGGGAGGCGGTGCACCTGGGCCAGTGTCCCAGAGCCGAGGCTCCAAGCAGAGCTCGTGTCCTCAACTGTCCAGTGTTGTCGGAGTTGCAAGACTCTCGTGACTGGACGGAGGCTCGCTCTGTCTGAGGCTCTAGCAAGATTCGGGTCGGGTACGCCCTCTCCAGGCTGCCAGGGCCTGTGGGCAAACGCACCGGGACCACATGCCTGACAGCCAGTGTCTGCAGAGATGGCCGAGAAACCGGGAGAACCGGCAGAAAGAGGGAGGAAGGGAACAGCCATGCTGTGGCCAGAAGATGGGCAGTGACTTCCGGACAGGTTTCAGGTTTGTGAGCCTGAGCCACCCAGCTCTGGTTCTGCCAGCTGTGCCTC